TTATCCTACTTAGGGTTCAGTAAGCTTCTTGGATGTGTAAATTAATAATTTCTAATCAAATTTGGGAAGTTTTGGATCATTATTTCTTCAAAAAATTACAATAACTATTGGATCCACAATTTGAGGAGGTGTATTAGATGAAATTTGGGACATTTATTGGGAAAGCCTAGGAATCTGGAATGATTACATGTCTTTGGATTCATATATAGCCTGAACTCCTTGGGCACAATGAGTCTCCCTTGATCTCATAAGCAGTTGTTTCTCCCTGTGTGAGGCTATTCCTGCATTACTGCTACTCAACTATTGGATGAATTTCAAAATCATTATCCTGAGTGAAAAAAAAAGCCACACACAAGTACACTGTATTATTCCTTCTGCATGAAACCCTAGAAAAGACAAAACTAATCTAATAGTGACAGACAGAGAGAGAAACAGCTCCCAGGTGGAGGCGTTGGAACAGTTTAAAAAGTGATCCAATGTATTTGGGCTCTCAATAGATAGCCTCAATTCCTCATTCAGATAAAGTCGGAATACAAGAATATCTTAAGAGGGACATTATGCTCCCAAATCTTTTATAAAATGATCACTACCCACATGAGGATGGATGCCAGGTAAGTATACCTCCCCTAATCCCTGCTAGGATGCACTCAGTGTGAGGTCAAGATCAAGGTGAGGAAATTGTATTCCTTCACTTATGTGGATTTACCAAGCATCCAGGAAGCCCAAAGTTATTATCAGAGGAGAAGGATATGGTCAAACACCTACTACTAGTTGGTCAGAACTGATATTCTCTGCTCTGTACACTTTGCCTGGCGGGCATACACCTGCCTCTGTACACCTTTGAGGCTTGCTAGGCAGTTCAGTTTTGTTGTATCTGGCACACTCTCTGCAATTTTAAGGCCTTTTAGGTTTACCAAAAGTCACTGCTTATGAGGAGCTGAGAAAAAGAAGTGAAGATTAACTGAATGCTGCAAGTGGCTCTCTCATGTCTCTTTCTCTCCAGTTCCTAAGGGGAGATCCTAGTATAACTCATCCCTAAAATAAGATGCACACTCTCCTCAGGGCCTGCCTGTAAAACCTCCCTTACTGACGCTAGGCCCATAACAGGAATAAAAAATCAGCTATGCTCTGAGGAAAACTGCAAGGTTTAATCCAGAAAACAAAACAAAACACAACACAAAAGGAACTCAAGATCTTGCTCAATAGTACAAGCAAAAACTAGGTAGCATATGTGAGGGTGGATCCTTAGGATATTAGACCAGGAAGGATGAATTATGTTTGGATACGGCCAAATTTATCAATACGAGTGTACTCCCTGTGGACTCAAGAGCAGCCCATGCGGCATTTTATACCAATGAGATATATATTTCTCTGATGGGATCCTGACAAATATTTTTTAAAATTCTCAGAGTATTTCTGATGTGCAGCCATCTTTTATGGATCTGTGGTGGTGGCTCTTTGACCATAAAGTTCATTGAAATGAAATAGATGGGCACCCTACTAAGATACTTTTCGACATACCTATCCATATACCTATGAAATTCTAGGTCCCATGGGCAGAAAACTAACACAAAATCATCACAACAGGGATTCAGATTCTCTTTGTAAATTCTTGATATATCCTATTTTATAGATAGGAGGCTTCGACTAAAGAGGAGTCTGGGTCCCTTTGACAAAATTCCTCATAACTTAGTCACAAGAATATACAATTAATCATTCCCCAAAAGTCCCCAAGGGAGACCTGTGGCCGTATACCCAACAAATCTCCTTCAAACTGGGTCTACCATGTATGGCGGCATCATTGGAAGTTATGGCTGCTGCAGTTAGTCTTACTTAAGGGTGGTTCTGAAATGTGTGGTGAAAACAAATCTTCCCACCGGGCAGAGTTTAAGGAAGTATATTTACTTGTTTCCTTTGTGAAGAGACATGTACTTGAGTTTAGATTTATACTCATTCATGTCCAATAGCTCAATGAGTTGACCAGTAATAGGGGGCTAAACAAGAATAAGACTGGAAAGTTGGTGACAAAAAGGTCTAGAGGAGACATATGTGGATGGAATTCTAGGAATAGTTATTGAATGGGGTTTACACATGCTTAACAGAGGATAGGACATTAGAGGGAAGAGAACAAGTGAGGTTTGGGTATTTATTCCTTTGGGTCTCCGTGCTGAGCCACATAATGGCCTACAATGTTTCTCTTCCTAAGGCCACAGCTCTCATAAGGATGGCCTTTTCTGCCAAGTTCTGGTAATGTTATCTATCCTCACTATAGGCCTAGTGGTGATAATGACTCCCTACCATCACTAGTTACAGGATGCTTCACCCCCCCCCACTCATGTTTTTAGAGGCTTGTTTGTTAGACTCTCCTCAAGTGTCCCATTGTTTCTTGACAATTGACACCTGTTTCTTAAGGGGACCCTGACTAATAGGTCCCCACAGCAACCCTGATCTAAACTCCATAGGGGTAGGGAATTTAATCTCTTTTATTTGTTGTTGCTATCCCAGCATCTAGAATGATGTCTATTGCACAGCAGATTTTCAATAAATGTTTGTTAAACGAACATATATTGTGACCACTTTCTCTCATTCAGGATCTTTACGTGAAAGTCTATCATGATTGATTTAATATAGTTTGACCAGCATTTTTGTGCTTTTCTTTGTAATTTGTTAAAGAATTATAAATGTCAGCAAAAAGCAAGCAAACTTATGTGCATGGAAATCCAAGATAATTAACATAAAAATTTGTTGCAACAATAAGAGAATTCTGCAAGAAAGAATGTTCCTGTATCAAAACCAACAGCTTTCCTATAAACATCTCTATCTGGAGCACCTGTCTTGACCCCCAATATAACCTCCACACTGGGCTCCAGGGGCGCCAGGATGGGGCTCAGGGGTCGGTGGGTCAGGTGGCTGTAAAGGAACAGGGTGGAGGTCCCGGGTTGAAAAATTATAATTTTACAGCTATATAATTTCAATCCTAAGTACTTCAGTCCTCATCCCCCTTTTCCCCCCTTTTTTTTTACAAAATCAATTTTCCTACATAACTCCAAAATTTTTTCACACTTCATCTAAGTAAGAGTAATTTTAATATTTTCAACATCCAATCCACATTCAAGTTTCCCCAATTATCTCCAAATGACTTATGAAAAAATGCTATTTTAATCTGGAGCCAATAGAGGACCATCCCTTTTCATCGGGTGGTAGAGTTCAAGTTTAACCCTTAACCTATTCGGGGCTCGGAGAGAATCTGGGCAGGACACTTTTAAGAACATTGTCCTCCAGTTTTCTACTACGCGGAAACGCCAAGAGGGACTTCAAAAATGGACGCGGAGACCTATGGGAAATGTAGTCTTGAATCGTTCTGGCTCAACGCGCGGCACTCTGGGAAGGGGACGCCGATCTCCTTCTGCGCATGTGCAGCCGTAGCCCTGCCGTCTCATTCGTCGTCTCTGGACGCCAGGAAAGCGTTGGAGGTTGTCCCGGTCTGCTCGAAAAGTAAAGGGTGCGCGCCTGAGGTGAGAGTGCGGGGGACCAGCTGTGAGGGGGGCGCCTGTGCCTAGGGATGGGGGCGGGAAGTCTCTGGGACCCCGTCGCCCCCAGCGCAGGTGTGTGCGCCCGGGCGGGCCCTCGGCGGGGGGAAGGCCAGTGGGGGCCCCGGCCCTCGGGCTCCCGGGGCGCGGGTGGGGCTCAGTCCGTCAGGAGCAGGCGCCCGGGGCAGCCCGGGGTCTGCGGGGACCGTGTGCCTGGCCCCGCTGCAGCCCGACCCGAGAAAAGCACAAGTCGGCGGTGGAGGGCGGAGGAGTGCGTTTATAACGAGGACGGTGACCCCGGGTCTGCGGTGCAGCCCGAGCTCTGGAGCCTGAAAGACCCGGTAAGTCCCAGCTCTGTCACCTGTAAGCAGGGGCGACAGAAGGAAGCTAGGTAAGAGGGTTGTCATCTGAAAGTGACATTAATAATGACTGTTTCACGACGTTGTTTCGAAACTTAGATCTAAGTCATCACTTTTTTTACGCAAGTGACAGGTAGTAAGCCCTAAGTGACAACTGCTAATATAGGTGGAAGACGCTTTGTTTTTTTTTTATTGGATGGTTTAATATAATCTCACAACCACTTTAACAAAAGCTGAGGCTCAGGTTGGGGGAACGATGGGCTTGAGTCAGGAGCTAGCAGTGAGGAAGTTTGGATTCAGGGGCAGGTGTGCTTACTTCAGTCTCGGGCTTCATCTAATATCACACCTGCCTTAAACTGGCATCGCAGCCCTCACAGCGCTTAGCAAAGTGGCTCGTGCCCAAATCCCCAGGGATAGAAGGGAACGTGAATGTAGGTGGAATCCTACCATGTGTCACATTGTATCCTGGGATTTCTAGTGTCTCTTCAGGTCCCTTGGTTCAGACAGAGGTTCCTGGCCCCTTCTGCATTGTCAGGCTTTCTGTCCTGGCCCCTTCTGCATTGTCAGGCTTTCTGTCCTGGCCCCTTCTGCATTGTCAGGCTTTCTGTTGTTTAAGTCTGATGTTATAATGAATTCCAAGAGCCAGGTTTTCGCCCCTAAATGAATTTGTTTCTCACATCCATGTCCCAGTTGCCTTGAAACAGAGCAACCCTTGTGAGGTAGGAAGCAGGGGGCCTCTGTGAACAGGAGTCTCACCTGGAAGAGAGCACCCCTCTGACCTTAGACCTCTCTCCAGAGCTTCAGAGCAGAGGCAGAGAGCCCAGAAAGGAGCAGATCCTACATTTGCAGGGTCAGAAGCAGTTCTTGTCCCCCCTGCCCAGAAGGAGCCAGCTTAATGATGATGCCACCTTCAGAAGCCACCACACTGTGTGACAGTGGGCTGTTTGGGCTATCCTTGAGAAGAGCAAGGTGAGCTGGGGTGGCCCAGGGGCAGGCTGCTCAGGAAAGGCCACTTCATAGGAGAGCTTGTGAGGGCAAGGTCCGGGGGTACGGGATAACCAGGCAGAGGGGGGAATTCTGTCTCCACTCCCCTTAAATGGCCTCCACTCCCTACAGATGCTGTGCTGCTATCACAGGTGTCCATCACCATGTGTGACGCTAGTGACATTGTCCAGACGTCACAGGATCCCAGAGTGATGATGTGTGAAGGGTTTTCCAAGGTCGTCTACTTCTTTTTTTGAAAACTTTAAAGACATTGGGCCTGAAAGGTTCAGTGACTTGTCCAGGGAAACCCAGTTTGTTTGTGACAGTTCACTCTCTCACAGGTGAGACAAAAGCATCTTATCAAAAGGGCCTTTTGAGAAATACGTCCCAGCTGAAACAAACAATTAAAAATTCCTGCCTTAAAGCATCCCATCTCTTTTACTAGGCTTTCCATGGAATGTCTATACCAACGGTTAAATAATATTACTGAGAAGAATAGATAAATGATGCATGCTGAGTATTTTTCTGCTAAGTTAATTTTAATGAAAGAATAGTGTCTTATCCTTTGGTGTAAAGTTTAATTCAACTAATCTTCTGTTGTTTTTATTTCTTTGTGTTAGTCAGAAGGACACATGCATTATTGTGAAATCATCGAGAAAAGTTTGTGTTCACTCAGTAAAAGACTGCAGATTTAAGCCCCATGGTCATTTCATAGTCACACAAAGACAGGTGGTGCCACCTCTCCATGATCCTTCTCATGCCTTTTCAAGGCCTGGAGGGCCCTATGCCTATTGGGAGGATGATCCCCAACTGGGGTGCTGAGATTTTGGGAGGTGAATTAGGAGATGTAAGGCAGGTCAAATCTCAGGATCCCCGTCTGCTTTCTGTCCTGTCAGCTGAGCCACAGTTCTCTACACTCCCAGGAGCCACAGAAAGTGAACATCCCTCAGGTGAGCTCTTTCTTTATTCCCCACTTTATATTGTAATGAATGTATAAGGTTTAGAGGGATCCATGCATGAAATGGAGAAGGAGAAATAGAAATAGATCAAGTCAATCTTGAGGGAAAATATACCATTTTACTATTAACTGTGATGCTGGCTGTCATCTTTGGATAGATAACCTTGTCAGGACAAGTAGGTTCCCTCCAGGTACCAGTTTGTTAAGATTTCATGTTAGTCATGAATGTGCATTGAATTATATTATCTTCTGTGCATCTATTGGAATAAAGCTATAGGTTATTTCCTTTAATCTATAAATACTGTAAACAGTGTAATGGATTTTCTAATATTAATTTGAATTGCTGTATAGACCCTAGTTGCTAATAAGTGTGGTAAGTTGCTTCTTACGTATTTTCCTAGGGCTTTTTGCTAATACTATATTTAGGATTTTTATTTCTGTATCCACAAGTTGGATTTGACTATACTTTCTTGTTTCCCTGTCCTATTATGGTATCTAGGTCATAGTCTCATGAAAGGAAATGGGTGTACTTTCCTACTCTTTCTTTTCTAATAATTTAGATGAGAAAATTGTGTTACATGTAGATTTTGTGAAACTCACCTATAAATTTGGGCCTTCTGAAGACTGTTTGTGTGAAGATTTTGATTATTGAATTATTTCATTAGTCATAAACCTATACTGGATTTGTGTTTTTTTCTTAGTATAACTTTTGTCATTACATTTTCATAGAAAATTGTTCATTTTTATTTATGATTTTAAATGTATTTTCATGAGCTTATGGGTAGTATTCTCTTAGAATTTCAAAATCTTTATCTGTTATATCAATAATTTCCTTTTTTGATCAGCTTTTAAATTTTATTTTAATACAAAGGCTGCTAATCTGAAAAGGACAAAATATGTTCTAGTTGGCCCAATCTGAAAACTAGAATTTCAGGGTCTGAGGGTTTTATTTTATTTTATTTTATTTTTATTTTTTTATTTTTGTGAGGAAGATCAGCCCTGAGCTAACATCCATGCCAGTCCTCCTCTTTTTTTTTGCTGAGGAAGACTGGCCCTGAGCTAACATCTGTGCCAATCTTCCTCTACTTTATGTGGGATGCCGCCACAGCATGGCCTGACCAGTGGTGTGGCGGTGCTCACCCGGGATCCGAACCTGGGCCACCAGCAGTGGAGCACAGGCACTTAACCGCTACACCACGGGGCCGACCCCCTGAGGGTTTTAATATTTTGTGCTGGCAGCGGACTCTAAAACGTTAGGAGTAGAGGAACATGCCTTTGACATGTTTGTGCTCTCTAGCTTTCCACAGCCACCTATCAGCACCTTTTGCTGACAAGACTGTCCTTTCTCCATTGAATTGCCCTGGCACCTCTGTGGGAAATCAACCAGCAATGTGTGTATGGGTCTGTTTCTGGACTCTTTTCACCTCTGATGATCTGTGTTAGTCCTTTTGCTAATACCACACTGTCTTGATGAGTGTCTCTACAGTAAGTCTTGAAATTAGGTAATGCGAGCCTTCCAACTTTATTCTTTTTTAAAATTGTTTTGGATATTCTCAGTCCTTTCCTTCTTTATAGAAAGTTTTAAAAATCAGCTTGTCTATCTCTAAAAAGCCTGCTGGGGTTGTCGTTTTGATTGTACTGAACCTATAGAATCTGTAGTATAGATCAATTTGGGGAGAGTTAACATCTTGATCATAGTGAGTCTTCCAATTCATGAACACAGAATCTCTCTCCATTTAGTTAGGTGATGTGGAGGGTTTTGAGGGTTTTGGTTTTTATTCTTTTGAGTCAAAAGGGTAGTTTTGACTTACAGTTTATTTATTTATTTTTTTTTTCCCCCCAAAGCCCCAGTAGATAGTTGTATGTCATAGCTGCACATCCTTCTAGTTGCTGTATGTGGGACGCGGCCTCAGCATGGCCGGAGAAGCGGTGCGTCGGTGCGCGCCCGGGATCGAACCCGGGCCGCCAGCAGCGGAGCCTGCGCACTGAACCGCTAAGCCATGGGGCCGGCCCATGACTTACAGTTTAAAAGAGTAACTCTGTGTACTGTTTGAAGATAAGACTCTAGTGGGGCAGTAGTGGAAGCAGGAACAATATAGGAGGCCGTTTCTGTAATCCTAGCAAGAAATGATGATCATAAGGGTGTTAGTTACTTTGAAGTGGTCAGGTTGTGGATGTAGTTGAAGGTAGAGCCAACAGTCGGAGAACGTGCATTTCTTCCCTACAGCCTTGCAAATAGAGTGTATCAAACTTTGAATTTTTACCAGTGTGGTTTAAAAATGATCTCTCAGTTTAGTTTTATAAGCTTTGCTCTCCTCATGAGTGAGGTGGAACATCTTTTTTTGTTTGTAGTTCATCTATATTTTTTTGTTGTTGAACTCTTTATCCCTTACTCGTTTTCCTATCGCTGTGCTGATTTTTTTGTGTGTGCGTGTGTGCGTGTGTGTGTGTGAGGCAGGGTGGCCCTGAGCTAACATCTGTTGCCAATCTTCCTCTTTTTGCTTGAGGAAGATTGTCCCTGAGCTAACATCTGTGCCAGTTTCCCTCTACTTTGTATGTGGGATGCCACCACAGGATGGCTTGATGAGTGGTGTGTAGGTCTGTGCCCAGGATACGAACCCACGAACCCCAGGCCGCCAAAGTGGAGCACACGAATTTAACCGCCATGCCACTGGGCCGGCCTCTTGCTGTGCTGATTTTAATGACTGTATCCAGTATATCTTCATATCCCTTTTCTGTGCTATAAATTGCACAGTTTTCCTGCAGTTTTTTGTATTTTTGCTTTGCTCATGATTTTTTTTTTTGTGCCATAAAGACATTTGATTTTTATATTGTTAAGCAGTTTTGTCTTTTCCGATTCCTGGATTTTCAGGCATAGTTGGGTATTTCCCACTCTAACTTTGTAAAATCATTGTTCTGTGTAGTCTTGTAGAATGTGATTTTATTTTTTACATTTAGATCTAGAATGCATTTTAATTTTGTCCTGCTCTGTGATGTGAGAGAGATCTGTCTTTTCCCAGACGGCCTCTAGCTGTCCCCATGATATTAGTGTCCAGCTTTTCCACACTCATTTGTATGATGTCACCTGTATTCAAACAGGAAGTTTACTCTGTTAGTTGTTCTCCCCACCACACACTTTGTTCCAGGTCTTGTTCACTGGAAGCTTGGATGTCTTTCTGGGCCCTCATCAGCACCCTGCTCCTTCTCCCCACTTCTCTGCATTAGATTGTGGGCAGCATTGTCCTGTTTTTCTTATCTAATACGATCTTACTCTCTTATCTTCCAGCATTTGTTCAAATTTTCAGGCCTTCTGCTGGGACATTTCTCTGTATTCCTTTTTTGTCGTGGTTTTATAGTAGCTTTTATATTTTACCTGAGCATGTTTTTGGAGGTCGGGGTTGTAAATGTTTGTGCTCAGTCTATTCCCTTGAACTAGAGAAATCATTTATGCTTCTAACTCTCTCTTCTCTTAATTTCCAGTACTCTAATCTTTCTGATTTCTCTTTCCAACGTTTAGAAATTCCTTCTCAACTTTCGTGGCCTATTCTTTTTCCACCTGCCTCTTAAATTTTGCTCTTCCCTTGATTTCTGTACTTAGTCCTTTTCTGTCTTCAGTATCTATGTTCTTTCTGAGCCAGCCCTTTTTCTCTAATGACTTCAGTTACCATCTTGATGACTAATGTCTCTTAAATCCTTATTTGCATTTTAGACCTACCTCTCTGTTCCAGAATTATGCAACAACAGTGAAATAAGTAATTTCATCTGTGTGTTCCACAGGGGTTTTGAGTGCAAAGGAAAAACATCTGCCTTGCTACGACCCAACCTCTGACTCTTATTTATTCTGCCAGTCTCTTTGTATGGCATCAGCATCTACCCAGTTGCTTGTGCAGCATCTCTGTGTATAGCTGCACAAGAAAATAATGACCATGTTTTGTTTCCTATAGTTTAGTTTCCCATTCTTTATCTTTGTTGCTTTGCCTTAATATTTGTAATCTCTTAAATTAGGTCTTTTGTTTTGCTGCTTAAGACATTGTCCACTATTTGTCATAACTGGGGATGCTAGTGGCATCTAGTCAGTAGAAGACAGGGATACTGATAAAGATCCTAAAATACACAGGACAGTCTTCCACAAAAAATAGCATCATCCGGTCCACAGTGTCAGTAGTGCCAAGTTGAAGAATGCTCAGTGTTCTAGAGCATTGCTGAAGTATGAATCTGGTCGTGTATAATACTTCCCAGGCTTACATGTATCTCTTTGTTGGTTCCCTATTACCCCAGAAGAGATCTCCAGGTTGGGGTGTGTATATTTTGCAGAGTGCTCAGCATAATCTATTGGTGTATGGGAAGTGTATACAGGAATCCTATTTATAATAACTTCACCTAAAAAAATAAGGCACTAAGCTTTCTCATTGTATTAAGTGACAATATTTGTGTATAAATTAAAACAAATATGAATAAATCAGAGCGTGAGAATAATTTTTTTTACTAAGTGTGTATGTCTCTTGTAAGTGTAAGACAGAGTTAGGGCCGTGGTAGTTATCCTTTATAGTATTTTGTTTTAAACTCTGAACAGTAAACATAGTAAAACTTAGTTTCCAGAAATATTTTCCATGTACCTGATTCTGGACCCTCCAGAAATTGATTAGAAATGTGCTGTTACAGGTCCCAGTGTCATTCAGGGACGTGACTGTGGAGTTCACCAGGAGGAGTGGCAGCAGGTGGGCCCTGTACAGAGATGTGATGAGGCTGGAGAGCTACAGCCACCTCGTCTCTGTGGTGAGTAGCCCTTACCATGCAACTCCCTTTAGTCTGCAAATTCTGTTTTTTCTTTTTTAAGTGTTAATCACTTTCGTGGAGATGTATTTAATGGAAAATAAAACTCAGCACTTTCAGTGTATAAGTCAGTGAGTTTTGAAAAATTATACAGTTGATGACCATCATCAAAATCATGATTTGGAATATTTCCGTCATCCCAGAAAGATCCTTGTACCCCTTTGCAGTAAGTCCCCTCCCTCCACCCCTACCTCTCAGACCCCTCAGAGCAATCACTGGTCTGCTTTCCATTGCAGTAGTTTTGCCTTCTCTTGACTTTCATATAAATGGAATCATAAAGTATATTCTCTCTTTTGTCTGGCTTCTTTCACTTAGAAGAATACTTTTGAGACTCGTGCATGTGTGTGTATCGCTAGTTTATTCTTTCTGTCCTGAGTAGTGTTCCTTTGTGTGCATAAACCACAGTTTATCATCCTTTCAGTTGATAGACACGTGGGTTTTTTTTCAATTTGGGGCTATTGTGAAATAAAGATGCTATGAACATTCACATACAAGTCTTTGTGTTGACATGTTTTCGTTTCTCTTATGTAAATACCTGGCGGGGGGGCTTGCTGGGTCTTTTGGTAAGTTTATATGTAACTGTAGGAGAAACTGCCAAATATTTCCAAGCTGGCTGTACTGTTTTTCATGCCCATAAGCAATGTCTGAGAGTTCTCATTGCTTTCTGGTTACCAACAGATGCTTTGGTGACTCTTATTATTTTTAAACATTCTAGTTGGTATATGGTTGTATCTTACTGAGTTTTAATTTGCATTTCCCTGGTGACTAACAATGTTGAACCTCTTTTTGTATGCGTTTTAACCATTAGCATTCTCCTTTAATGAAGTGTCTGATCAAATCTTTAGCCCGTTTTTTGTTTAATTTATTGGTTTTTTGGTCTTATTGTTGAGTTGAAGAAGTTCAGACCTTTATCAAATGTGTTTTGCAAACTTTTTTTCTCCATCTCTGGCTTGCATTTTTAAAGCAATCTTTTTTTTTTTTAAAGATTTTATTTATTCATTTTTTTCCCCCCAAAGCCCCAGTAGACAGTTGTATGTCATAGGTTCACATCCTTCTAGTTGCTGTACGTGGGACTCGGCCTCGCGTTGGACGGAGAAGTGGTGCCTTGGGGCGTGCCCGGGATCCGAACCCGGGCCGCCAGCATCAGAGCGCACGCACTTAACCGCTAAGCCACGGAGCCGGCCTGGCTTGCATTTTTAAGAAGAAAATGTTATCGGATTGTTTTTGGTTTTTACACATACTTTTAAAAAACCTTTATATGACATAATTATAGATTCACAGGAATTAGCACAGTTGTATTCTTCACAAGTTTCTCCCAATGGTTATGTCTTACATAACTATAATATAGTTTACTCAACACCAGTAAATAGACGTTGGTACAATGTGTGTGAATAGCTCTGTGCCATTTTATCACATGTGGAGATTCGTGTAACACCACCAGAATGAAGATGCAGAACTATTCTATCAGCACAAAGATTTCTCTCATGCTTCCTCTTCGTAATTATACCCATCCCTTCTCCCACACCTTCCCTGATCTCTGCCCACTACTGATCTGCTCTGCATCTCTATAATTGTGCCATTTCAGGAACGTTATATAGATGGAATCAGAGTATTTGATGTGAGATTGGGATCCATCCAAGTTGTAGTGTGTATCAATTGTGTTATTTCTTTTATTACCACATAGTATTCCACTGTATGAATGTATCATAGTTTGTTTAGCCATTCACCTATTGAAGGACATTTTGCTTGTTTCTAATTTTTGGCTGTTATAAATAAAGCTGCTGTGAACAATCATGTTCAGGTTTTTATGTGAACATAAATTATTTTCTCTGGGATAAATGCCCAGGAGTGTGATTAGGGTTGTATGGTAAGTATATATTTTGTTCTTTAAGAAACTACCAAAGGACCGGCCCCGTGGCGTAGTGGTTAAGTGCGTACGCTCCGATGCAGGTGGCCTGGGTTCGGATCCCGGGCGCGCACAGACGCACTGCTTCTCCGGCCATGCTGAGGCCGCGTCCCACATACAGCAACTAGAAGAATGTGCAACTATGACATACAACTGTCTACTGGGGCTTTGGGGGAAAAATAAATAAATAAATAAAATTATTAAAAAAAAAAAAAGAAACTGCCAAAGTATCTTGCAGAATGGTTGTACCATTTTGCATTTCCACCAGCAGTGTATTGAAATCCAGTTACTTCCTATCCTTCCTAGTACGTGATACTGTCACTATTTTTTTTATTGAGGTAACGTTGCTGTATAACATTATATAAATTTCAAGTGTACATCGTTTTTTCGACTTCTATATAGATTACATTGTGTTCACCACCAAAAGTCTAGTTTTTGCCATCTGTCACTGTACAAATGTGCCCCTTTACTTCATTGTGCCCTCCCCCGACCCCCCTTCCCCTGTGGTGACCACTAATCTGTTCTCTGTATCTTGGTGTTTGTTGTTGTTTTTTTTATCTTCCACATATGAGTGAAATCATATGGTGTTTACCTTTCTACGTTTGTCTTATTTCACATAGCATATTACCCTCAAGGTCCATTTATGTTGTCACGAATGGCAAAATTTCATCTTTTTTTTATGGTTGAGTAGTATTCCATTGTATATATACCACATCTTCTTTATCCATTCTTCCATTGATGAGCACTTAGGTTATGTCCAAATCTTGGCTATAGTGAATAATGCTGCCATGAACATAGGGGTGTATATATCTTTTCTAAATAGTGTTTTCGTATTCTTTGGATAAGTACCCATAAATGGAAGAGCTGGATCATATGGTAATTCTATTTTTAATTTTTTGAGGAATTTTCATACTGTTTTCCATAGTGGCTGCACCAATTTACATTCCCACCAGCGGTGTATGAGGGTTCCCTTTTCTCCACATCCTCACCAACACTTATTACTTCTTGTCTTTTTAATAATAGCCATTCTGATGGGCATGAAGTGATACCTCATTGTGGTTTGCATTTCCCTAAAAATTAGTGATGTTGAACATCTTGTCATGTACCTATTGACTATCTGTATATCTTCTTTGGAAAAATGTTCAGATCCTCTGCCCATATTTTGATTTTGTTTTTTTGTTGTTGAGTTGTATGAGTTCTTTATATATTTTGGGTAGTAACCCCTTATCAGATAAATAATTTGCTGATATCTTCTCCCAATTGGTAGGTTGTCTTCTCATTTTTTGATGGTTTCCTTTGCCTTGCAGAAGCTTTTTAGTTTGATGTAGTCCCATTAGTTTATTTTTTCTTTTGTTTCCCTTACCTGAGGAGACATATTCAAAAAGATACTGCTAAGACTGATGTCAAAAAGCGTACTGCCTGTTTTCTTCTAGGAGTTTTATGGTTTGGTCTTACATTCAAGTCTTTAATCCATTTTGAGCTCATTTTTATGTATGGTGTAAGATAATGGTCTACTTTCATTCTTTTGCATGTGGCTGGCCCATTTTTCCAATACCATTTATTGAAGAGACTTTCCTTTCTCCATTGTTATGTTTTTGGCTCCTTTGTTGAAAATTGGCTGTCCATAAATGTGTGAGTTTATTTCTGGGCTGTCAGTTCTTTTTATTTTTTTATTTTTTGTGAGGAAGATCAGCTCTGAGCTAACATCCATGCCAATCCTCCTCTTTTTGCTGAGGAAGACTGGCCCTGAGCTAACATCGTGCCGATCTTCCTCCACTTTATGTGGGACGCCACCACAGCATGGCCTGATAAGTGGTGCGTCGGTGCGCGCCCGGCATCCGAACCCAGGCCGCCAGCAGCGGAGCGCGAGCACTTAACTGCTATGCCATGGGGCCGGCCCCTGGGCTGTCAGTTCTGTTTCATTTATCTGTGTGTCTGTTTTTCTGCCAGTACCATGCTGTTTTGATTACTACAGCTTTGTAGTATATTTTGAAATCAGGGAATGTGATGCCTTCAGCTTTCTTCTTTTTTCTCTGGATTGCTTTTGCTATTTGGGGACTTTTGTTGTTCTGTATAAATTTTAGGAATCTTTGTTCTATTTCCATGAAAAATGTCATTGGAGTTTTGATAGAGATTGTATTGAATCTGTAGATTGCTTTAGGTAAGATGGACTTTTTAACATGTTAATTCTTCCAATCCATGAGCACAGAATATCTTTCCATTTATTTAAGTCTTCTTCAGTTTCTTTCAACCATGTCTTATAGTCTTCATTGTATAGATCTTTCACTTCCTTGGTTAAATTTATTCCTAGCTATTTAATTCTTTTTGTTGCGATTGTAAATGGGATTGTATTCTTGACTTCTCTTTCTGGTAGTTTGTTTTTAGTTTTTTGGTGGATTCTTTAGGGTTTTCTATATATAAAATCTTGTCATCCACAAATAGTGACAGTTTTACTTTTTCCTTTCCAATTTGGATACCTTTTATTTATTTTTCTTGCCTAATTGCTCTGGCAGGACTTCCAGTACTCTGCTGAATAAGAATGGCAAGAGTGGGCATCCTTGTCTTGTTCCTGTTCTTTGAGGGATAGCTTTCAGTTTTTTGCCATTGAGTATAATGTTACCTGTGGGTTTGTTGTATATGGCCTTTATTATGTTGCAGTACTTTCCTCTATACTTATTTTATTGAGCGTTATTATCATAAATGGATGCTGAATCTTGTTGACTGCTTTCGCTGCATCTATTGGGATGACAATGTGATTTTTATTCTTCATTTTTTTAGTATGGTGTATCACCTTGATTGATTGTGGATGTTGAACTAATATCTAATATCCCTGGAATAAATCCCACTTGATCATGGTGTATGATCCTTTTAATGTATTATTGTAATCAATTTGCTAATATTTTGTTGAGGATTTTGGCATCTATGTTCATCAGTGATATTGGGCTATAATTTTCTTTTTTTGTGTTGTTCTTGTCTGGTTTTGGTATCAGAGTAATGTTGGCTTCATAAAATGAGTTAGGAAGT